GTGGGGGAGTTCTGGAGTTTCTGTGTGTTCAGGTTTGGCCTTAGGCTTCGGGAGGCCAGAGGATCTGGAGTTTCTTTTTGTCAGAGGCCTATGTGTCTTCTCTGCAGCCTGTCATGGCTGCTAAAGCAGGGCTGAGTGAGGGTCTGGCCCCTTCATTCCTAGAAGTGAAGCCTTTTAGTTTAGTTTTCCCTTTCACTACACTCATATCTTCTTCCTTCCTAAGATAGCTGCCTATGAAGCCCAGGGTGAAAGTGGGACTCTCAACTCCTAGAGTTAACAGGAGGCCATGAACGTATTTTAAAGCAGGTCCCATCTTTATGGAGGAGACAGATGACACTTGGGGTTAGTGTCTATGTCACACTTGCTCTGCATGCGCTAAAGAGACAGAGAAAGACCTCACATCTTGGCTTGTATCTTGTTTTGTTTCCTCAAAACACATTATCTCCCATGTAGAACCTCAGACTTTTGGCTTCAGTTGACATCAGCACTATCTGGCTAGTATTTTTCTTTTGAAAACTTGTCCCATTTCCAGAAGAGAACTGAGGCTAGCACCAGTAGCAACAAACCCACAGCATGACAAAGACTGAGTAAGGCCCCATGCATGTCCCCTGTGTTAAACTTGCCATGATATGGTCTGGTAGAAATAGGCTGAACTCAGAGATAGGTCAGTTTTATAGGTTCTTAGGTGAGTCAGACTTCCTACATTTTAAAAATAGGCTTTGAAACTCTTTTAGTTATAGGCTCTGTGAAATAGATTTGAATTAGTTTAAGCAGAATAGTGAACTCAAGTTCACATAAGCAAGGATGGATAAGACAGGATGACGCATGCTTCCCAGCTTCCATGGCGGCTCCTGCTGTCTGCCTTTTGAAGTCTGTGTCTCTTTTAGGGATGTACCCCTTTCTACCTTACATACTTGTGCATGTTTCTCACATTCTGATCACACTGTAGTTAGGGGGATCCCCTGCATTGGCTCCCCGAATCCCCTCCTGCAGCAGTTCATTGTAATGCATGACTGAAGGAGTTAAAGGGAGGATTTGTCCTCCCAGCCCTAGAATCTTACTGAGACAGCACAGGAATTAGGGATTGTATGAAGTTAGAATTCCCTGTTATACAAGGGATGTCACAGGGAAGTAGACATATGTAGAGATGTCACAGATGATATGTAGACATCACAAAGATTAGTAAGGACAAGGTTATAGGATTTATGGAAGGAGAAAGAAACAAGATGGACCTCCTTGCTCCTGCAAACTCCATTTCTTTTCTTTTTTTGTTTTTTTCTTTTTCGAGACGGGGTTTCTCTTTGTAGCTTTGGAGCCTATCCTGGCACTCACTCTGTAGACCAGGCTGGCCTCGAACTCACAGAGATCCGCCTGCCTCTGCCTCCTGAGGGCTGGGATTAAAGGTGTGCGCCATCACTGCCTGGCTCAAACTCCATTTTATTTATTTAATTCCCTTACAATCTACACTTATTTATTATTTTTCTGCGGTGTCGGGAATTGGACCTAGGGCCTGGAACACTCTAGGCCAATTTTCTATTGAGCTGCATTCCCAGCCCAGCAAATACCCATTTCCTTAGCTTAGTCTTCAGATCGTTCAGTTGAAATCGGGCTCCGCAGCTGCAGACCGCCAGAGGGCGCCACAGTACCCTATTCTGCTCAATGGCCACTTTACAAATAGGGAACCGGAGGTCTGGTGTGGTCAAAACTTTTTCATGAAATGAATATTGGGTTTAACAGGCATCTTGCCACTTCTAGGTTAGTAGCCTCAGATGTCTCTTACTGCCAAGTGACTTGTTTAACCTAAATTCATCTCTGTTTTTTGTAAGATGAAAGCTTCCGACAAGACCAAGAGAAAAATGAGCAACTTGTACGACTACCTGAAGAAAAAGTTCGTGGCAGATCAGCTGAGAAAGATGCTGCGCTGGAGGCGGGAGTCACTGAGCACCCAGCGGTACTTGGATAAGCAACGTCTCTTCAGACACTCGGCTTAGACGGCAAGCCAGCCACCATACCAGTGGCCTAATGATCTGCCCCAGAAACACAGAACCACCTTGGTGAGAACTAAGGGACTTAGGAACATACTGGTCTCCACCACTGTAAGCAATAAAGGGAAAGCAGCGGATAGAATAGAAGCATAACCTGTCCTCGGTTCTAATTTGCTTTGTTCCACCATCCATATGGCCAACGATGCTTTTTTGGTGGAAGGGGCAGGGTCAAGCCAGTCTCCCTGGTTTGTGTAAACATGGAGACTTCTGTGCCTACTTATTTTTTTCTTTTTCTTTTTTCCTACTTCTCTCTTTCCCTCCACCGTCCTCACTCTCTGTCTCTTTTTCATGTCTGCCCTCCCTCCCTTCCTTCCTTCCTTCCTTCCTTCCTTCCTTCCTTCCTTCCTTCCTTCTCATCCTCATTTTGGTGTGGAGACACCTCAGGGATTTGCACATGCTGTCCTCAGCCCTGGTGCACACACCCCTGGGTGACATCTGCTAGCTGCACTGAAGCTGTTGACATCTTAGATGCAAAGGACTGAGAATGACCCTGTGCAATATTTAAGTGGTAAGGAGGTCAGGGTGAGGCACCAGACAGTGTTATTCCTGCCACCCACCAGCTTGGAACCTCTCTGGGTCCCTGTTTCCTCATCTGAAAGAGTCAGGCAGTAGGAAGATAACCTGCGTCCAGGAGCTGGCAGATGACAAGCGCCTGGCCCAGAGCTCTTTCTTTCCAACTGCTGTCCCTCCTGCTGCTTCCTTCTGCGGAACACTTTCAGACCCTCTGCTTCCTCTCTGCCCCCTAAGAGCTTGCTTAAGTCCCATGCTTGCTTTTCTGGTTGACCTTGGCTTTTTCTGGTGGCTTCATTCTGCCTGCAGTATAGCAACTCAAGTCTTGCTCCTTAGCCCTGATTAGACTGTAAGCAAATATTTTAACTTTCTCCCTGATTTCTTTAGTGAGCCACTAAAGAAATTTAAGTGTGTCTGTTTAGTCTATATGTATTCATGTGGTTTCTGTTGCCGTTGATATCTAGTTTTATTCCACTATGATTTGATAATATAAAATAAATTATTTTGATTATTTTATATTGGTCGACTTGCTTTGTAATCTAGAATGTGATCTATTTTAGAGAAGGCTCCATGGGCTGCTGAGAAGATTGCATAGTCTATATCTTTTGGGTAGACTACCCAGTAGGGATCTGTTAAGTCCACTTGATCAATGGTGTGGTTTAACACTGCAGTGTCTTTGTTGATTTTAGTTTGAAAGACCTATCTAGGGATGGGAGTGGTGTTACTGTATCAGGACCTAGCTGGCCTTATGCCCTTTGGTGACTTATAAAATTAAGAACCCCTGATTTTGTGCCTACACATGATGTGTAGTCTTAAAATTGTTGTGTAGTTATCATTGGATTTTGGTGTGGAGACACCTCAGGGATTTGCACATGCTGTCCTCAGCCCTGGTGCACACACCCCTGGGTGACATCTGCTAGCTGCACTGAAGCTGTTGACATCTTAGATGCAAAGGACTGAGAATGACCCTGTGCAATATTTAAGTGGTAAGGAGGTCAGGGTGAGGCACCAGACAGTGTTATTCCTGCCACCCACCAGCTTGGAACCTCTCTGGGTCCCTGTTTCCTCATCTGAAAGAGTCAGGCAGTAGGAAGATAACCTGCGTCCAGGAGCTGGCAGATGACAAGCGCCTGGCCCAGAGCTCTTTCTTTCCAACTGCTGTCCCTCCTGCTGCTTCCTTCTGCGGAACACTTTCAGACCCTCTGCTTCCTCTCTGCCCCCTAAGAGCTTGCTTAAGTCCCATGCTTGCTTTTCTGGTTGACCTTGGCTTTTTCTGGTGGCTTCATTCTGCCTGCAGTATAGCAACTCAAGTCTTGCTCCTTAGCCCTGATTAGACTGTAAGCAAATATTTTAACTTTCTCCCTGATTTCTTTAGTGAGCCACTAAAGAAATTTAAGTGTGTCTGTTTAGTCTATATGTATTCATGTGGTTTCTGTTGCCGTTGATATCTAGTTTTATTCCACTATGATTTGATAATATAAAATAAATTATTTTGATTATTTTATATTGGTCGACTTGCTTTGTAATCTAGAATGTGATCTATTTTAGAGAAGGCTCCATGGGCTGCTGAGAAGATTGCATAGTCTATATCTTTTGGGTAGACTACCCAGTAGGGATCTGTTAAGTCCACTTGATCAATGGTGTGGTTTAACACTGCAGTGTCTTTGTTGATTTTAGTTTGAAAGACCTATCTAGGGATGGGAGTGGTGTTACTGTATCAGGACCTAGCTGGCCTTATGCCCTTTGGTGACTTATAAAATTAAGAACCCCTGATTTTGTGCCTACACATGATGTGTAGTCTTAAAATTGTTGTGTAGTTATCATTGGCAGCTCCTGCTTTCTTTGAGACAGTGTATGCTACCATACCTACCTTAACAATTGTATCTTTCTGAATGATTATACCCTTTATTGGTATAAATTTGCCTTTATCTCTTCTGGGACCAGTACAATGGTTTAGTGGGTAGGGTGCTTGGTGCCAAGCCCGATGATCTGAGTTTGATATCTGGGCCCCACATGGTGGAATGGGAGAACTAATTCCCACAAGTTATCTTTTGACTTCCATGTATGCATGGTGCATGTACACACACACACACACACACACACACACACACACACACACACACACACGATACATAAATGTGAAAAAAGCCCGGCGTTGGTGGCGCATGCCTTTAATCCCGGCACTCGGGAGGCAGAGGCAGGAGGGTCTCTGATTTTGAGGCCAGCCTGGTCTCTAGAGCAAGTGCCAGGATAGGCTCCAGAGAAACCCTGTCTCGAAAAACCAAAATAAATAAATAAATAAATAAATAAATAATGTGAAAAAAGACCTGAAAGTAGTTATGTGAGTTTTTGTAGGGAGGTGGGAGGCTCCATTTGCTTGGTGAGTTGATTTCCACTCTTTGTTGACTCTCAGTTGGATGTCATTGTTAGTGAGATATGTTTATCGGAGACAATAGATACATGGGATCTGTTTTATTTAATCCAGTCAATAGTCTCGGTCCTTTTACCGGTGGGCCAAGGCCACTTACACTTAAGATTATTGAGACAGGCTTACAAATGTTACCTAGATTCTCTCCCTTGTTCTCTTTTGCCTTGGTGTATGTATGTATATGTGCATGCTTGTGAGTGGGTACACAGGTATGCTGTGCGTGTATGTGGAAACCAGAGAACAACTTTTGGTTCTTCCTTAGGAGCCAACTACTTTGTTTTTAGATCTGGGTGTCTCATTGCCTGGTGCCTTCTGATTTGGCCTGGCTCCCTAGCTAGCAGGTCCCAGCAATCTGTCTGTCTCCAGTTCCCATTTCCCCAGTGCTAGCTCGCAGGTCCCAGCAATCTGTCCCCTTTTCCTCAATGCACACACTATCTTTCCATATTTTTTAACATGGATTCTGAGGATCAAACTCAGGTCTTCATGTTTGTGTGGCAAACATTCACTGGCTGAGCTATCCCCTATTACCTTAGCCTCTTCTCTTTTCTTCTCTATTGGCATATGATGTTTGCTGGTTTACTGTGGTGGGCATGATGGATTCCTTCCCAGCAGCCCTCTGTTCATCTATTCTTCTCAGTTTTATCTTCATTTACTCATTCATTTGTATGAGTATATGTGTGTGAGTGTATGTAGGTAACGGCATGTATGTAGCGGTCAGAGGACAACTTTCAGGAGTGGTTCTGTCTTTTTACCATGTAGGTTCTGGAGATGGAACTCATGTCGACAAACTTGGAAGCAAATGCCTTTCATCACTGAGCTATCTTGCCACTGTTGTCTAAAGCTAACTCTGGAGCTCCAGCACAGTACTTAACATCCACAGCCACATCCCCCCAGCAAGGGGATTCATGTTCCAGGTTTAGAAATGACAAAGACAAATGGACCAGTTTAGATATCAGCAGTGTGTTTTCTTCCCAAAGCCCCACACACTTGAGAAAAACCCTCTGGCTAGAACATTAACCTTCTCAGGGGGTACAAATTGCCAAATCCCAGGAGGTTTGGGAAACCTGCCCAGTCCATGGACAGCAAAGCTATGTGTGGCCAGAAGGTGATGTCTGGTCCAGAGAGAAGGGAAGCTATTAAAGTGAAGACAGCTCTGGAAGACACTGTATACTTGCCCAATACAGGGTCAGCATCCGAAAAAATAATAAGACAGGGAGCAGCCTTCATGTACCCAGAAGTCTCCAATTTTAGGGAGTCCAATTTTAAATGCAGTCTTTTGTGAGTGACCTCCCTGTGTTTTCATTTTGGCTCTTTTACTATATTATTATTATTATTATTATTATTATTATTATTATTATTATTTGGTTTTGGTTTTTCAAGACAGTGTTTCTCTGTGTAACAGCTGTCTCAAAACTTGATTTATGACTAGGCGGGCCTTGAACTCACAGAGATCCGTCTGCCTCTGCCTCCCAAGTGCTGAGATTAAAGACATGTGCCATCCCCACCTAGTGTTTTAGTATTTTTAGCTTATCCTACTTAAATACTTTGTGGAGCTCAAGAGATGGCTCAGCACATAGGGTGTTCTCAGCATGGAAGGTGCTCTCAGCACGGAAGGTGCTCTCAGCATGGAAGGTGCTCTCAACATGGAGGGTGCTCTCAGCACATAAGGTACTCTCAGCATGGAAGGTGCTCTCAGCTGGAGGGTGCTCTTAGCATGGAGGGTACTCTCAGCACATAGGATGCTCTCAGCATGAAGGATGCTGTCAGCATGGAGGATGCTCTCTTTTTGGGGGGTGCTCTCAGCATGGAGGGTGCTCTCAGCACATAGGATGCTCTCAGCATGAAGGATGCTGTCAGCATGGAGGATGCTCTCTTTTTGGGGGGTGCTCTCAGCATGGAGGGTGCTCTCAGCACATAGGATGCTCTCAGCATGAAGGATGCTGTCAGCATGGAGGATGCTCTCTTTTTGGGGGGTGCTCTCAGCATGGAGGGTGCTCTCAGCACATAGGATGCTCTCAGCATGAAGGATGCTGTCAGCATGGAGGATGCTCTCTTTTTGGGGGGTGCTCTCAGCATGGAGGGTGCTCTCAGCACATAGGATGCTCTCAGCATGAAGGATGCTGTCAGCATGGAGGATGCTCTCTTTTTGGGGGGTGCTCTCAGCATGGAGGGTGCTCTCAGCACATAGGATGCTCTCAGCATGAAGGATGCTGTCAGCATGGAGGATGCTCTCTTTTTGGGGGGTGCTCTCAGCATGGAGGGTGCTCTCAGCACATAGGATGCTCTCAGCATGAAGGATGCTGTCAGCATGGAGGATGCTCTCAGTATGGAGGGTGCTCTCAGCACATAGGGTGCTCTCAACATGGAAGGTGCTCTCAGCATGGAGGGTGCTCTCATCATGGAGGGTGCTCTTAGCATGAAGGGTGTTCTCAGCACAGAGGGTGCTCTTAGCATGGAAGGTGCTCTTAGCATGGAGGGTGCTCCAGCACATAGGATGCTCTCAGCATGGAAGGTGCTCTCAGCATGGAGGGTGCTCTTAGCATGGAGAGTGCTCTCAGCATGAAGGATGCTCTCAGCACATAGGATACTCTCAGCATGGAAGGTGCTTGCCACTGAGTCTAATGTCTTGAGTTCATTCAGTCTTCAAAACACACATGGAAGATGGAGAAAATCAGCTCTCTCAGAGTTGTCCCCTGACCTCCATGTGTGTGCTGTGCCCCCCTTTTTTCTTTTCCTTTTATTTTGGATCCATATTTCCTCATTTACTCTTTTTAATACATATTTTAGTAGTATTTTGACTTCATGGTGAGTCATGATGTCCATGATGAGAGCACCTTCCATGCTGAGAGCACCTTCCATGCTGTTTTTCTGAAAACATTCATATTTTTATTTTTGGATCTCCCCTTTCTATATTCAAGTTTGGTTGCAATTTTTCTTATCACTGGGAAATCTGTTCATTTTCTAATTTATTGCTCTTTTCTCTTCCCCTTCACAACAATCTTCTCCACTCTTTGTTTGTTTGTTTCTCTATGTAGCCTTGGCTGTCCTGGAACTCGCTCTGTAGACCAAGCTGGTCTCAAACTCAGAG